AAAGAAGTATGAGTTACAAATAACACTATTTACACTATTCGAACTATTAACCTCATCTTTGTTGTTTCGACTGTTGTACGCTCCGGCCTTCTTTAGGTGGTTGGAATGTCGAACTGAACCCTTTATTTTGCTCACTGGGGTAGAGTGTTCTAGTTCCACGTGCATCAGTTATCTCCTGTTAATTCCCCTCTCCAAGTTCTCCACCACCTTAACCAGGTATTGAACTCACACTCTTTGGGTCCTGTCACTGGATCTAACTAACACCTTTATCCACTGTGCCATGTGTCCTTGACATAGCACAGTGGATAAACATGGCGACAAATATGAGGACAATAGTCTGAATAATGTAAATATTGTACATAATAGCTCATCTCGGAAATATAGACAGATACTGAAAGTCCGAAACGTTGTGATAAATATGGTGACAAAGATGAGGACAATAATCCAAATAATGTAAACAGTGTACATAATACCTCATCTCAGAAATATAGATGGGTACAAATAAATATTAAAAAATGACATCATTTTCCATTTCACTGAAGTAGACAACACATCAGTGTGTTATCACTACCACTTTCTCAAGTTAATGATTGAATAAGATCATTGTGATTTGGACGACTATAAAATACTCGTGGAAGTTCTAACCTTGTATCATTTAAATATTCCAACAAGAGATTGCAATAACAATTATTTAAAGTAAGAGGGTAGAAATGGATATTCAAAATTGACAAGGTTTTCCATTTGACTGAAATTTATCAATTCCTCTTTCTTAAGATAAGTTAATGATTGAATAAGCTCCTTCTTCGTTTGACGACAATAAAATACCCATGGAAGTTGTTCTATTTACCATGTTCAGACTGTTGTTCTCTTTGTCATTGCCATATTCACGACATTTTGGACATTGTACATTCTGACCTTTTTCAGGTGATTGAAATTTCAAATTAAACCCTTTATTTTGTTCATGGGGGTAGATTGAACAATCTATTCTGGTGGCCGAAATAAAGGATTCAGTTTGAAATTCCAATCACCTGAAGAAGGCCAGAGCATACAACAGCCGAAACATTGTGAATATGGCAATGAAGATGAAGACAACAGTCTGAACAATGTAAATAGTGTAAGTAATTACAATACCTCATCTCAGAAATAGACAGATATTGAAGTTCTCCTATTGTATCGTTAAATATTTGAGCTTAACTTCGACAAAATGTTCCAATAACAATTATAAGTGTGAATGCAGGATAATATTTAAAGAAATAAAAGGGTACAAATGAAAAGGTTTGGAATTGATAATGTTTTCAATTTCACTAAAGCAGACATTAAGCACATGAGAGCATTATTACATCCTGTCTCTTCTCTCTCTCTTTCCTTCTCACTGAAACCAGACAACATCTGCTTACGGACAAATCCCACTGAAATATTGATTCCTGAAGTTAAGCCTCTTCAAGCTTGGTCAGTATCCTGATGAGTGTCCACTTGGGAATACCAGGTGCTGTAATCTTAGATGTGCAGGTTGTGCAATAAATAATGGCTCTGAATTATTAATCATAGAGCCGAGCTCCAATTTCCATTGGGTTTGTTATATTCACTTATGCACAAATATTGTTGAGAAAGGTATGAATCTACCTCTTTTCACCCTAGCTATGGGTTAATTAGTAAGAATTGTATCACTAAATCATTATCTTAAAAAAATAATTCTTACAATCTAAAAATATTATGTATGAATCCACCTCATCTGTCTCAGGTAATTAGTACTAAACCATTATTATCTAAAAAAAATCTTACTATCAAAAGATATTTTCTGGCTTAAAATAACCTGCAAGGTTGATTAGCCATATAAAACAAATCAATCAATCAAATACTGATAAGCTATACAGTCATGTCTTTTAAATTTATCTACATTCTCTTGGATAGAAATGTATAGAAACTACCGTGGCCACAAAGTGAGGGATCAGTTCTTATATAGATTGTAATATAAAATTGATCCCCCACTTTATATCCACATAAAAATTTCTTTTTTGCTTATCAAATTCTGATTAGGTACGAATTCACCTCTTCATCCTCCCCAGCTATGGGTTAATCAGTAAGACTTGTATCACTAAACCATTATCTCTAAAAGGAAAAAAAAATATGGCTTTAAATAACCTGCAAAAGGTTGATAAGCCATAGAAAATAAATGAATGAATCAATGTATGTCTTTTCCATCTTTCGTCATGATCAAAATGGAATAGTCCATTAATTGAGGTAGGGTTTAATATATGTGCTTACTAAAGAACAAGGTAGAATTCATGGATTTTCTGTTAGTGTTAGTGACTAAGATACTATCAATTAATATTCTTTAATCGGTACTGCTGCAATTACTATTCACACAGATGATTTGATTATAGCAGCAAAGGTTTGTATAGAACAGCCACCCTTTTCAGAACTAATAACAGAGAAATTATAAACTTTGTTGCTATTTTTCTTTTGGTTTTAGTGGTTACTGACATGGAGTTTAACCTCTCCAGAATAACATCAGCAACTAGAGAAAGTGTTAATCACAAAGTGGAAAAATGTTTTTGTTTTTTTGGAATGATTTGGACTGAAGTGATATTTAAATTGACATAATTATGCATCGGCCGTAAGGACAGGGGATGGTGAAATTTTAATTTAACATTTTTTTTTAATGGATTTGGGTATATTTCAAGTGAGCACCTGAATTCATAGTTTTCCTCCTAGACTGGCCAACAGCCCAGCTCTGTCTGTCTTGCTATTTAAGCTATTATTTGTAGAAGATTCATGCCTTTTCCAAAGGAATCTATAAAATCCTGAAATTGACTACATCTTACCAATATTATTTTAACTACCTTCACTCCTCGGCAATGTTTGTTTTTAAAAAGCGATGATTAGAATTTTAATAAAAATTAAAGATATAAAAGTCAATTTATGCATTTTTTTTTTTTTCTTGAAAATTAACAAAAATAATAAACACTATTTATAAGAATGTTTATTTACACTATTTATTTATTAGATTGTTTATTGGAATGGTTGGGAAAACATCGGCTAATTGCCAATCGATTCAAACTTTATAAAATGGTAAATAATAAGGATTTCCTTATAGTTGGCTCACTTGTTTTAATAATTGAATAAATTTTTTTTTCATTTTTATTTCTTTACAAATTGATAAAGGTATTGCATTGTATTAGTTTTAACCCTTTAAGCTCTGCGTTCCTAAACAATTTTTACCCTTCTGCTTGAGCACCTGAGTCAAAATTTGCAAATAATCGGTATGTAATGTTTCATGGTAGATATAAAAATAGTTACAAAAAAATATAAGCATTATACTTAGCAGGGAGAGAGTATGATTGCATACCTTCAGTTTATTACCAGAATTCTTTCTTTGTGTGCCAGTCTACCCAGCAGGTGATTCCTCTCTTGATACACAAGAATAGCAAAACATGACCCAAGTGTTTACCCACCATTCAACCAGTGGCTGGGCATTGTCATTTTTCTCTACCACTAGTAAAGCAGTGGTCAGGGATCAAAGGGTTAATTGCATTAGTTTTTAGAATGTTCTAAATATAAAATTATTCTTGTAAGTATATATATATATATATATATATATAATGCTTTAAATTCCTTGAAGAACATATGGCTGTGGTTTCTATAACAAGACAGTTTTTTAAGTGAGTGGGTTGTTAACCAGCTGCACAACACCCAACCTGGAGGATCAGGTTTTGAATTCAGAGTTGTCCTTCTACTAGACAAAGCTATAGAACCTGGTCTGTCCTGCTATTTACCTATAACTGGGTGGAGAAGAAGAGGAGGATTCATACCTTTCCCAAATATATTAGCACATAAGTGAATGTAATGGATTCAGTTGGAGTTTGAACTTGGCTCTCCAGTTCCTCAATCCAACTGTTACCCATTAATCCACTTTTCAGTTCCTTTTCCATACAAATTGCAAATATCTACATCTGTATCTCTTTACCATTTTTTTAAATTAAAATTATTTTACAAAATGGTAAAATATAAGAAAATAAATAAAACTTACTTCTTAAGAAAAAGTTTTACATTAGTTTTATTATTATCATAATAATTTTTCCTTGATTTTTAGTTCCCATATATATTTTGAGATATAGATGTGTATGTAAGTATATATATTCTCTTTTAGGCATGACTGATTGAATAAATTAAACATTATATCTGCTAATTTTTAACAAAATCCATTCATACTCAAAAATAACCTTCTGTGTATTGATGTTAAAAGATGAGAGAAATGTTCTAAAATCAATACACAGAAGGTTATTCATGAGTATGAATGGATCTTGTTAAAAATTAGCAAACAATGTCTGTAATTTATTCAGACATGCCTCACACACACACACACACACACATTATATATATATATATATATAACAAGCTTTGTCCCATGTTTAGCATAAAACAAATTTGAATTTTGTTCACGGCATAGAATAAAATAAATAATATATACGTAAAATAATCAGTTAATTTAGTAGTATTTTTGTTTGGTGTAATCTTGGAAGACGATCGGAAGTACTTGAGAAATGAAAAAAGAAATTTAAACAGCTATAGCACATTTCACTCATCCTTTAACATCAATACATAGAACCTCATTCAATGAGGCATGCCTAAAAGAGAATTTGCTGCCTAAATACACAAATACGTATATGTGTGTGTGTATATATATTTTATTATATACATTTATATCTGTGTGTTTGTGTGTATATATACAGCAACAAAAATATATAAGCTATTATTACCCATGATAGTTTTATTTTCTATGGCTCATCAACCCTTGCAGATTATTTAATACCAGAAGATAATAATGGTTTAGTCACACAAGTCTTACTAATTAACCCATAGCTAGGGGGAGAAGTGGTGGATTCATACCTTTTTCAAGGGTATATCCACGTGAATATAATGAACCCAATTTGAATTGGAACTCAGCTCACCAATTTCTCATTCATCATCTATTACACCAACCACACATCTAAGTTTATATTCCCAAGGGGTCACCCATCTAGGTACTGACCAGGCTTGATGTTACTTAACTTCGGTGATCATATGGGAAGTGGTGCTTCAACATAAGAATACCTTGTCCAATTTTATTGTGATTCCCATCTTGTAAGCAAGGATAGCCATTAGCTAATGTGAAAGTATTCAATTATTGCTTCCAAGATGTTATTGAAGTTATCACCCGTATGAATTTGGCCAAACGATTTCAAATCTTGCTTTCTCTATCTCTCTATTTTGGACGTGAAGATTATTTAAAGCTAGAAAATAGTTTTAGAGTTTTTTTTATTTTTATATAGTAATGATTTAGTGATACAAGTCTTATTAATTAACCCATAGCTGGAGTGGGAAGAGGTAGTTTCATATCTTTGCCAAGGTTATCTGTGTAAGTGAATATAATGAATCCAACTGGAATTGGAACCCAGCTCTCCAATTAACAATTCCGAGCCATTATCCATTACACTACCCACACCTCCAAGCTTACAACACCTGGTATTCTCAAGTGGTCACCCATCTAGATACTAACCAGGCTTGATGTTACTTAACTTTGGTGATCATATGGGAAGTGGTGTTTCAACATGATGTGACTGTAAACCTATTATCCAAAAGAAATAGACCAGATTAAATAAAATATCTTTTGCAACATTAGATGGTATCTTGAAGGATGCTGGCAATCATGGCCATCCACAATTTCCTTTACTTTATAGCTCTTAATTAATTTTGTCTTTTTGTCATCTCTCCCAAACCCTGTCCTGCTATCCATTTACACAAGCCCACTAGGTAGGCTAAACGCTGTTTCTCTCTCCCTCAATATTTCTTGTGAGTATCAAATTTTCTAAGCCCTCTTTCCTCATTATGTGCCCTAGAAAAAATACATTTGTTAGATTAAGATTATAAGCAAAATAAATTCTATATGTGCTATGTCCCTTCAGAACATAGACAATCATGGCTCTCCACAATTTCCTGTCCTTAATAAATTGTCTTTTTGCTATTTCTCCTAAACACTGTTCTGCCATCCATTTACTCAAGCTCACTGCATTGCTTTCCTGTTCCTCTTGCCTTTAATCTGTCCTGTGAGTATCAGAATTTCCAAGCCCTCTTTCCTCATTATGTGCCCTAGAAATTTCAACTATCTCTTCCTGATATCAAATATAAGTGTCCTTTCTGTCACCATTTGCTCTAAAACTCTGTCATTACTCACATGTTCGGTTCAGAGTATCTTCAGCATCCTTCTGTAGAACTACATTTCTGTTGCTTCAAGTCTATTTTTCATTTGTGAGGAGAATGCCCAGCATTCACTGCCATATAGTAGGACTGATATTACCTAACAGTTCAGTATGCTGCTCTATGTTCCTAACAACCTTTTCCTGTTTCTTAATACTTTGCTTAACTTTTGAAAGGCATCTTTCACTATCCCAATGCACCTTTCGATTTCAGTGTTGAATGTTCCATCCTGCTAAATCACTTCCTAAATATTAATATGTTTGCACTTGTTAAATTTCAGTATCTCTAATTTGCATGTTGGGCAACTGTGCATTCTATATTCTTGCAATTAGTCCGTTTTTCTTGCTTTCTTTTACTACGAGTTCTTGTAGTTTCCTTTCTGTGTCTGCTATCAACACTGTGTCACTTACATATCTTATATTGTTAAGACTGTGGTCATCAATAATGAATCCTGGTAGGACTTCTAATTCTCTCAGAATGATCTCACTGTATAGGTCGAATAAATCTGGTGAGAAGACACTTTATATATTTACTGAATCCACTATCCTGGGTTAGACGATAAACTCCGTCTGCATCCTGGGTAAGATGATGAACTACATCCAACAGCAAAGCCTCTGATCAGGAGGTTTTGAGGAGTGTGAAACCACCTCTTAATTGCTAGTGTTCCCAGGTCCACCCTGATCCAGGGTAGTAGCACCTGTCAGGGTCCCAGCTATTGGCAAATAGTTAACCGCCAAACTGGGATCAAACATTTAAAAACAGGTTTTAGTACCAGCAATAAATTTTTGAAGAAAAAATTATTACGAGCTATACATTTTTTGGGAAAAAATATTACCAGCAATGATAATTTTTTTTTTTTTTTTTGAATATTACCAGAAGTACTTTTTGAAAAAAAATACTACCAGCAATAAAAATCTTGTCAGCATTAAATAAGCCATTAAGATTGAGATGCCATAAAACAAACCTAAACATAACTTGAATTTTCACGGTATGTGCCATCACTGCTTTCATTCCAATTCCAGATCATAGTTTCTCTTTTGGAAAGGTATATTTTGAGTCCTGTTTCTTGCAACACTTGGTAGAGGATGTTTTCATTTTAATGATTGATTCAGTCTAGATACCATCACTGCTTTCATTCCAATTCCAGGTCATAATTTCTGTTTTTGGAAAGGTTGATATACCATAAAACAAAATAAACCAAACCTGATCTACAAACTAATTTTTTACAAAGAATACATATGCTATTCATATGCACCTATCCTAAAAATCATGTCAGCATTAAATAACCCATTGAGGTGTTGATATGCTGTAAAACAAACCAAACCTGAATCCACTTTTCTCCTGTATGCAGGTGGTTTGCTCCCAGTATAGCTTCTTGATTCTTCTAATATCCTTCCCAAATATGTCAAGGTTACTAAGCAGTTTTAAGTTTTTTTTTATATATTTTACCAAATACTTTTGCATGATCTATAAAAATAAATATATATATATATATATATAGTTCATGAAAAACTAGGTAATCTGTATGAGTAAACCTAAGGAGGATAAAATCCAGAGCCAATAATTTAAATAAAAACAGACCACTTTAAGGTTCCATGTAATAAATTATTTCACCACAGCCCTTTTAAAGGACTGTGGATAATATATATATATATATATATATATAATAAAGAGAAAGAACAGTAACATAATCCAGTGATCTTATTTTTATTTTTTACAAAACAGGGCTCAATGCAAAGCTACAGAGCATAAATATTATAAATTTAGTAATAATTCAATTATAGAATTAAAGTCCCTAGTCCTGTCTCATTTTCAAGTGAATTTTAGTATAACTTTTTTTGAAATTTATTTATTTTATAAGCATAAGCATTCATAATATTAGTTTCTAAGGATACAAAGAAATTCAATCATTTTGATAAGGGGTGGCAGTGTGTTCATTTTCACTGACAACTATTGTACCAAAATATGAGTTCCTTTCGAAAGGAGGTTAAGTTAAGGTAGGAGTGTCTTTTTCAGTGAATGATGACATCTGTTCAATGCATGTCATCTGGTCTTTATCAACAAAAAAAAAAGCTTTTCAGCACTTTTGTTTCACCATTAAATTTGTAATTGTATACATAAAGATTTTTTCTAAAAGGGTTGTTTGTATATGAGTACGTCATAGGTATATATTATTTTGCATTTTTATCATTCTGGGTAAAATATATCATTCCTTGTTCCAGTGTCTTTAATGAACCTACACTGTTCTTGTCCAATTCTGTTGCACACTCTGTTCTTTAGAATGCAGATAAGTTTTGTTTTCTTGTCCTAATTCTGTTGCACACTCTGTTCGTCAGAATTCTGATAAGTTTTGTCAGGTGGCTCATTAGGCTAATTGTCGTACTTGCTTCTGCCTTAAGATTTTTCACGTATCTGACTGAATACCTATGAAATTAATAATGAGAATGGTTCTCTGCAAATTTAAAATATTGATTAAAATCTAACTTTATGGCATACAAGAAAGAAAATCTGTTGCGGTCTTTTCCTTCACCTCTTAAAAATCTTTGATTATTCTATTAATTAGCAAAAAAAAAAATCAATAACTGATAATTCATAATCAGAAATTAATTTTTAATTAATTCATCCATTTCCCTTCTAATTAACTGTCTTCTCCCCACCACTCTCTTTCATCCAGGCCGTTTGCAGCTATACAAGGGTATTTTATTGACATCGAAAGAAAACATCAATAAAATCTATATTTTGTTCCTGATGGTACGAAGGTTTTATAGTCCTTTGAGAGACAGGTGTTTCCGTGTATGATTATTGATCTGCCAAATAACTTCAGTTACTATGGCAAATGGTTAAGATGCCAGGCTGTAATAATGGAACGTAACAAAGTATGAAAACAATGCATGTATAGCATTGCAGATCTTGGGAACAATGGTTCCTGAAACAAATGGCAAAAATTCATATTACAATGGAATAAATCTAATATAAAGTGCAGTGTATGTATGTATGTATGTATGTGTGTGTGTGTGTATGTATGTATGTATGTATATGTATGTGTGTATGTATGTGTGTGTGTGTGCATATATGTATGTATGTTTAAGCAACTCCCCACTGGTCTAATCTCAATGATTCATTGTATTTAATATCCCACCCACGAGGAATATATGTGGCACGAGGCCGAGATTAAAGTGGGTTTCTCCGAGCCCATAGGCTCAGCCAAAAATATACCCTTTGAACCAGCCTAGACTGGTTCAGGGCCTGTCTACATCCCCGGATGAAACCTTGCCGTTCAACAAAGCTTCGTCCGGGTTCCTCTCTGCCAAAGCAGAGAGTTCAACAGTCATGAACTGGTGCTCGTTACACCATTCATTCAATGGTTCATAGCTCCTTCAAAGTCTTGAGTCAATCCTTATCTACATACAACTTCATTCAGTAACCCTCTATCCTGAGTGGCTCTTACACCTGGTGTTATGTGCACTGAAGGGAGTAAGGTCAGAGGTATTCCTTGATTCTACATTGGGTCTCACCCAAGGAGATTAAAAAAAAAGTGGGTCAGGCCAAGCAAGTTTTATTACCTCTTCATAAAAAAAAAAAAAAGGCCATGTGTTTGATTCCACTTAAGTGGGAAGGTGTTTGAATCTCCTGTTTGAGAAATCAGGACACAAGTGAATTATTACAGTGTTTTATTTTCTGGATTTGTTAGCCCATATTACCAGTTATAGGAACAGACACTCATCTATATGAACAGATCTGAGATTAGCTTGATAAAGAGAGCACCGAAATGAAGTGTTTTCAACTTGTTAGTTTTAAATTAGCTTGCATTCCTTTATTTGACTTACGGGCACATCACATTCAAATGCCCACTTCCCCCCACTCCTGTACCATCACCAAAGTTAAGCAACATGAAGAGTGGTTTATAGGTAACTGCTTGGGAATACCAGGTGCTGTAAACTTGGATCAGAATTGTTAATTGGAGAGCTGAGTTACTATATGATAACCAAAGTTAAGCAACATCAAACAGGGTTTGGGAGAGATGGCAAAAAGACAAAATTAATTAAGTGTTATAAAGTAAAGTAAAGGAAATTGTGGATGGCCATGATTGCCAGCATCCTTCAAGATGCCATCTAATGTTGCAAAAGATATTTTATTTAATCTGGTCTATTTCTTTTGGATAATAGGTTTACTGTCACATCATGTTGAAACACCACTTCCCATATGATCACCAAAGTTAAGTAACATCAAGCCTGGTCAGTACCTAGATGGGTGACCACTTGAGAATACCAGGTGCTGTAAGCTTGGAGGTGCGGGTGGTGTAATGGATAATGGCTCGGAATTGTTAATTGGAGAGCTGGGTTCCAATTCCAGTTGGATTCATTATATTCACTTACACAGATAACCTTGGCAAAGGTATGAAACTACCTCTTCCCACTCCAGCTATGGGTTAATTAGTAAGACTTGTATCACTAAATCATTACTATATAAAAATAAAAAAAACTCTAAAACTATTTTCTAGCTTTAAATAATCTTCACGTCCAAAATAGAGAGATAGAGAAAGCAAGATTTGAAATCGTTTGGCCAAATTCATACGGGTGATAACTTCAATAACATCTTGGAAGCAATAATTGAATACTTTCACATTAGCTAATGGCTATCCTTGCTTACAAGATGGGAATCACAATAAAATTGGACAAGGTATTCTTAATAAGAATTTAAAATCGACTGACATTTTGGATAGCATTTTAAAACACCAGTTCCCATACAATCACTGAAGTTAAGCAACATCAAGACTAATCAGTACCTAGATGGGTGACTGCTTGGGAATACAAGGTGCTGCAAGTTTGGATGTGCAGGTGGTGTGGGAATACCAGGTGCTGCAAGCTTGGATGTGCAGGTGGTGTAATGGATAATGGCTCAGAATTGTTGATCGGAGAGCTGAATCCAATGCAGGTGGTGTAATGGATAATGGCTCAGAATTGTTGATCGGAGAGCTGAATCCAATTTTTGTTTTGTTACATTCGCTTACACACAAATACCCTTGGGAAAAGTATGAATCTACCTCTTCTCCCCCAGCTATGGGTTAATTAGTAAAACTTGTATTACTAAACCATTATTATCTCAAAAAACATTCTTACTCTAAAAATATTTTCTGACTTTAAATAAGTTACGAAGGGTTGATAATCCATAAAAAAAAACAAATCAACCAATCGATCAAATAGTGATTAGCTACACAGGCATGTCTTTTAGATTTATTTACATTCTCTGGAATATAGATGTAAAGAAACTACCGTGGCCATAAAGTGGGGGATCAGTCTCTCTCTCTCTCTATATATATATATATATATATATATATATATATATATATATATATATATACACACACACTGTTGAAATGGTTAAATGTAGTTGTCTCTTCTACTCCAAAAGCTTCATGTCTCACACTTCCCGTCTGTGCAACTCCCTTCCTCTTACTTTCCTCCCTGATAGCTATAATCTCCAACTATTCAAATGCAATGTCAATCGACATCTCTAGATGCCTTGATCTATTCCTCATCCTTTTCTCTATCACGCCTCTTTACTCTTGCTCCCACTCTCTGTGCATGCTAGTGGCACTCCCGACTTGCTTGGGGGGGGTGAAAAGCTTAGGAAAAAAAAATTATATATATATATATATATATATTTAAAAAATTGATCCTCCTACCTTAATTCCGATTAGGTATGAATCCACCTCTTCTCCCCCTCCCAGCTATGGGTTAATTAGCAAAACTTGTCTCAGTAAACCATTATAATCTAAAGAAAAAAAAAATTCCTTACAGTCTCCAGATTTTTTCTGCTTTTAACTAACCTGCAAAGGGTTGTTAAGCCATAAAAAAACAAATCAACCAAACCAAAACCTGATCATTATAATCCTAACTTCTTCAAATCTAGAGTTAACCAGTATCTTCTCCATATATCCCCATAAACTCTGCCTCTTACTTTGTAACCCTCTACCTTGAATGGCTCTTGTACAGGGTAAGCATTGTTGTAAAAAAGAAAAATAAATAAAATATTTGTAGCACTAAGTAATGTTTATTTGTCTACTTACTATCCCCCCTCCCAGTGCTCATTCTGTTGTCTATTTACTATTGATCTAGCTTCTCACCATTCTATTCTGTTCCCCCCCCCACCACACACACGCACACTTGCCTTCAGTATGAATGTCAAATTCTCCAAGCCGTCTTTAAAATTTATTTCTTAATCTTTTTCATTTCAGTCTGATAAAGTGTCTCAAAGCAAATCTTCTTCAATACGCAAGACGTCTTCCTTTGATGCAAGGACGTTATATCTGCCTGACGACCTGGATGGGACATCCTCTTCAAAACCCAAATCTCGGAACTTGTAAGTTCTTTATCTGTTTTTTTTTTCTTCTTAGTCATTCTTTCTTTTTAACTTTTCTCTCAATCTATTTTTCTTGTTTTCTCTTGCTGCTGCTGCTGCTACTACTGGTAGTAGCGTTGTTGGTGGTGGTGGTAGTAGTAATAGTAGCGTTGTTGGTGGTGGTGGTAGTAGTAATAGTGTTGGTGGTGGTGGTGGTAGTAGTAATAGTAGCGTTGTTGGTGGTGGTGGTAGTAGTAATAGTGTTGGTGGTGGTGGTAGTAATAGTGTTGGTGGTGGTGGTAGTAATAGTTGTGGTGGTGGTGGTGATAGTAGTGTTGTTGTTGGTTGTGGTAGTGTTAACTTAGCAGAATTTCTTAGGTGTGTAATAGAAGTGGGAGAGATTTATTTTTTAATTTTATTTACTCCCCGACCCACCTTCAGTGCTTATGCTTATTAAGCCCACCCAATTTTTTTTATGAATCACCCCAAACACACAAGGGATTACAGGGTATGGAAGAATTAGGAACAGAAACATTAAATGATGAGGAGGCACAGTTGGGTAATGAATAGCAGTTTGGATTGAGGAATTGGAGAGCCAAGTTCGAATTTCACACATGGCACATGACTGACTGACTGACTGACTGATTACTAATGATTTTACTATAGGAATGCATTGAAAATGAGGAAGATAGGGATTGTCAGTGGTCAGGAATGAAGGCAAACATTACTGAGAGAATAGAGTATGTATAATGTAAATACCCTTGGGAAAGGTATAAATCCTCTTCTCCCTCCAGCTATAGGTAAATAGGAGGACAGACCAGGTTCTATAGCCTTGGATGGCAACCTGTCTACCACAAAAATCATATCGAAAGATATATGATTGCCTAAGTGTGTATCACGCATGGCACATAACTGAGTGAATGATGAGAAAAGAGTAACATAGCCTTTAAATGATTTTCCAACCCCCACTTTTTATTGCATATTGAGAAAAATTTCTGACCCCTGCCACCACCAAAAAAAAAAAAAAAAAATTAAGACACCCCCTTGTATTATCAGTAAACAGGGTGGATCAAAATTCAAAATATTACACTTCATCCAAATCAGGTCATAAATTAAGTTTATAAAATGGCTAACTTTACTCACAATGGTTACCAAAACCTGAACTAAGCCAGATTACACACGATATATACGTGCATATGATGGAAATTTTAGGTTTGGTTTGTAGCAAATCAACCTCAATGGATCATTTAATGCCGACAACTTTTTTTTTTTTTTCCTAGTAATATTTTTGTTTTGTCAAAAATCTATTTCTGGAAATATTTTTTTCCTCAAAATTGTATAGCTGGTAATAGTTTTTTTAAATTTCTGGTATTAAAACCTATTTTTACACTTTTATAATGCTTTTTACCTCAGTTTTGGGGTTGACTATTTGCGCATAGCTGGGACCCTAACAGGTACTACCACCCCGGGTCAGGGTGGACCTGGGAACACCAGCAATTAAGAGGAGGTTCCATGCTCCTCAAAGCTTCCTGATACCCAGGATGGTGGAAATTTTAAATTTACATATGAACCTAACTGGTCTGACAATAAAAAAAAATAAAATAAAAATACAAGACAGCATCATGAAAAAAGCGATTCTTAGTAATTGCAATCGAAATTTCAGTTAAATCTTACTAACCTTGAATCAATGGTCATTTAGTGAAAAGTGTGGCAGATTCTAAAAATACGTCTCCATCTCAGGGACCAAATGCCCTGTGGTTGGTTGGGTTAGGGAGTTGGGAGGCCAAACAAAGATGAAGTCACTTTGGGGGAGACTTATATGAGATGCTATTGTAACCAACCCTCCTTCCTTTAAACCCTTGAGAATGGTGACTTTGTGTTTCAAATAAAATAAAACAAGGAAAACAAGAAAAAAAAATTTTTTTACTTCATTTTCCTGGCTTCTTTATCAGAGCATATAAAGTCTCACTAGTTACCAAAACCCAAAGTAACCCAGATTACACACAATATATACATATATATGTGTATATGAGGAAAATTTTAAATTTACAAATTAACCTAACTGGTCAGAAAATAAAAAATAAAAATTCTTAGTATTTACAATTGGAATTTCATGTTCTTGCCTTTTTTTTTTTTTTTTTTTGTTTAAATAATGTTTTTAATTATTTTTTCCTGCTGTTTTCGTTCATTAGGGCCTGGAACGTCAAACGCAAACTGCACTTTTTACGAAGACACCACACTGACTCTTCTCTCCCAGAGAGATTCCCCAAAGTCAACATGGTGAATGCAGCAAAATGGGGGAAATCTTTTGATGCTTTAATCAGGGATAAAGGTAAACTATTTCTTCTCTTTCATTTGTGTTTAATTTGGGGGAGGATTGGAGGTCTAATGGTTACCATCAGGAAAATGGAATCAGTGTTCCTTCAAAATATGGGCAATCATGGCTTTTCACTCTCTCTTTCATCCATCTCTCATCCTTTTTAATTCTCTCTCTCATGCTTATGTAGATTTGTCTTGACACAATAATTGGTAAAGTTTAACATCAGATCACACACAAAAAAAAAATATGTGCAATCATAGTTCCACCCCTCTGTCCTTTTTGTACCCCCTCTCTCTCATCCTTTTTGTTCTCTTTCTCTCTTATCCTTTTTTTGTTCTCTCTTTCTCTCTCATCCTTTTTTGTTCTCTCTTTCTCTCTCATCCTTTTTTGTTCTCTCTTTCTCTCTTATCCTTTTTTTGTTCTCTCTTTCTCTCTTATCCTTTTTTTGTTCTCTCTTTCACACTCTGACACACTTTCTCTTAAGTAACTTTTACATATTTATGCAGATTTGTCTTGACACAATAATTGGTAAAGTTTAACATCAGATCACACATACACACAAAAAAAAAAAAATCTGTGTCACAAGAAAGTTTTTCTCATGACCCACCCATTCCCATACCCGCCCTCAATTATTTTTAGAAATTTAATAAAAGCCGCAACATTGAAAAATATATATTCAGTTTCATTTCATTAATCATTACTATCTCAGATAACTTCTGGTTTTAATTTTCTATAGACATTTACATTTTCAAAATCTAAAATTAAAACTTACTGATAAAATTAAGAAATAATTTTTTCAAAATTTATTTTACTAGAAACTCAATTTCAGATGGTTGGCTGTCATACAGTGGAATCCCTGAAATACTCATTATGTATAAAATTATATATATAAAGGAATGTTGTTCATCCAATGACTAGGAAGATACATGGTCAAAATATTCAAACTTAAAAGACCATTGAGTTCAGAGGAAGAGATACATGACAAGAGCAAATTAAAAAAAAATGTCAAGAAATAGCATTTTTTCAAAAATTTACAATTCTTTGTTTTCTTGTTCATAGAGAATTTTATGAATAAAATGTTTCATAGTTATTTATTTACTGGTGTTTATGCAAAAATTCCTCCAAATCAACATGCAGACAACCACCAAACACAAATAATGTCTACTAGACACACACACTTACAAATATACACTATCATCTTAATCTTACATAGACAAATTAGAATTATGATACATTTACACACGTGAATTAGACACACAAATGCTGCTTGACAAGTCAAATGCTTGTGAAGCCTGCTGAACTAATAAAAATCAAACATAAAAATAAAATTACTAGAATTCATTCTTTCTCCATATACCATTCTTTGATGAAGCTTTAATAAATATTAAGTTAGATTTATAAATATTTCCTATTTGTTCTTTATCCCATCATTCTGTTGGATTCCAATTCATAATATTGTAAATAATATTTCATTATAGTTTGTTTACATAATTTCATTCCTATAGTGAACTATCGGAGAATTTTTGTAAATAAATAATTTATCACAGTTATTTTGTTTTAGAGAAGCGATAACAAAAATATTAAATACAATTTATTTACAAGATTATCAAAGAAAGATGCAAGAACAATATGTTAAAGTTTTCTTTAATACTCCCATAGTAATTAATTTTTAGAATTTAAGGATAATGAAGAGGAAACAAATGTTATATTTAACAAAACAAGATAAGGAATTTGTTTAAACATTTGAAGTTGTCAGTAGCTTCTTTCAGGAAAAGGAATCAAATATTTAAAGCTTGTAGTTTCAATGAATTGTCAAGGAAAGAAAACATTTATATTAAATCATTGGACACAAATATTCCAAAATGTTTAAAACAAATTGAGAGAGTTCATTTTTCACATAAGTTATACAGTTGTATTCAACATGAATGAAAAGATATATTTTAAGGTTCTTAGCTTTGGAATTGAATAGAGTTCTTCAAAAATGCCCTGCTCTCATTAAAGGCTGATAATGTATCAGAATATAATTTGACACTGGCATTATTCAAACACATGGAATTCTGGCTTTCTGCCTCCTGTTTCTTTCTGCTTTGATTCTTATATCAAAAAGCGATTTCAAGCCAACACAACTTCAACTGTAAATTGATGAGACCTCATCATCAGTCTAGTAAATTCATGAAGGCTAGGTACCATAGTGAAGAGCCCATCCAAATAATTTTATAAGTTTTCCAATGAATGAAGTATATTTAACTTTTTCTTCACAGATGGCTTGGAGATTTTCCGCAAATATATGCGATCAGAATTCAGTGATGAAAACATTGACTTCTGGTTGGCTGTTGAGGATTACAGAGCATCAGATGAGTCAGAATTTGAGAAAAAGGCCAATATTATCTTCAAGACGTTTGTGGCAAAGTCGGCAGCCAGAGCTGTAAGTTTGATTACTTATTCCTAAGTGCTTATAACCATTCAATGGCTTCTTTCTTTTTAAGTTACTTTTCTTTCACACAACTGTAAGAAAGGGGAAAAAAAATATCATCTGACGTGATTTTGCAGTAGCAGATCTACAGGGTGATTGAAAAGTGACTTCCTATTTATCTATCTCTTATTTTATCTATATATATTGTATTTATTTTCAATTTTTCTAATTTGAATTGTTCCCCTATATTGCATATTTTCCATTATTGTACATAATTAGATTACAATAAAATTTGTATTTTATATTAATCTTACCTATGAAAATTGTGATGATGTAAAGTTGGGACCCCCTGTATGACAGATTCAGGAGAGGTGGCATAACACTTACAGCAGCCATATATAATATATATATATATATATATATATATATATATATATATATGAAGAAATATAGTCTTAAGGTGTGATATATTTATGGGATAAAGAGCTCAATATCAGAGATAGTGCATGTGTAAATATAAAAAGTGAACATAAAGTCAACACTTAGAGGCAGTCTGTTTCATGCCATATGCAATCATCAGGCCTGAAGATTGCATATAGCATGAAACAGACTGTCGCCTCTAAGTGTTGACTTCTATGTTCACTTTTATTTATATATATATATATATATATTATACCAAATTCCAATAACCAACAAATACTACTCATAAAAGTGTGCTCAATACAGAGTAGAGCAGATATAATTATTTATTTGAAAATTATAACATAAATGGCTATTTTTGTAGTGATGTTCTTTTACTCATGCTCATCTTATCGAGTGGCTGCAGCTCAGAAATTTGCATAAGCCACAAATTCATCTTGTGAAGACTGAGCTCCAAGATAATGTTGTTCTTAAATTGCAGCTTTTGGATCAGCCATATTTTCTTTCAAGTATTTTGCACGCAAGACAGAAACGAGCATGTTTAGTTTCAGGAGGTAAGCTGTTTACTCTTCTACAGCACAAACAAATAACAGATTTATAAATGTGTAAGATGAATTCTGACAAGAAAAAAAAAATTGTCTGACACTTTCTTAGCAGTAGAAATGGCTAGATGTAACTTTAACTTCTAAGCTAACAGTTTTTTCTCTCACACTTTTTGCTTGTAGAACTCTCTTCCACCTTCTTTGCAATATCTTGTCTTCTTAATTTCTGTCCTTTTATCGTTCTCTCCCCGTAATAATGTTTACTTTTTCCTTAACATTCAGTAACTCCTTGTGGCTTTATTGCCTTGCTTGAGGTAAAATGATTAAATAATCACTCCACTTCATCTCAATGGTAAAATATGAAACGACTAGCTTAAAAGCCATCCTACTGGGTGGCATTTAACCTAACTCCTGTGGAAAGGTCTTGATTGGGCCTTCATTACAATAGGTAGGGAGGAGTAGATGTGATAGGCAATAATAAACTACAGAGGAACTCAAAATAGATCACCACATTAAAGTATTGCATTGATATTTAAGCTTTACCTTTTAAAAGTTCAATGATAATTCTTCTGCTGCCACTTAATTTAAAGACAATTTGATTTACGTAGGTCCTTACTGCCTGTACAATTATTTTTATTTCATAGGTGACTTTCGCAATTAATTTCAGTTATTCCCAAATTATAAAAATTGTTATCATACAAAAATTTTTTTGCAAAATACCAATTATAAAAGAAAAGAAAAGTAAAAAAAAAAAAGTAAAATTTCCAAAGACAAACACAGTAATGAAAATTTGGCAATCCAAATCTTCAGGATTGGGGTTCTGGATCCAATCCAGAATTTTTTTTAATTTGCTCACGAAGTCTGCCCGATTCCAAAATGGTGTGATATGTTGGGTTATGGCCTCTCAGAGTAAAGTTGATTTGCATTTATTATATAGAAGAAAAATTTAGAATTATTTCTATTCTCTCTTTTCTAGGTAAATTTACGGGCCCCAAACCGGGAAAAAGTCAGACAGAGGGTTGAGACTGGTGTCACAAGGACTACATTTGATGACTCACAGAAAGAAATATTTGACTTCATGCAGAGAGATACCTATCAACGCTTCTTAAAATCTGAAATGTATGCCAACGCCTGTAAATCATAAGAATTATGTAACTAAGGTGGTCATTTATTTTTTTTTTTTTTTTTTACTTCCTAACTATTAATGTAATATCGAAACCTTTGTTGTCATGTAAATATTTCTTTTTGTGGATGTGTGTATTTTTCAGTTGTAATACCTTTATAAGCAATTTTGTTTTTTTAGGGAGTGGGTATTTTTGTATCAATGTTCTTTCACTTTAAATATTTATTTTAGTTACTCTATAAACAAAAATTTCTATTTGAAATAATGTCTGACAAAGGCTTGTAATTCTAAATATTTATTTCCATTCTGATCAAACATTTTTTTAATGTATATATAAAAAAATGTAACTTTCTCCTATGTATTTAATTTTATTTAAATAATTTTTCATATATGTTCTCATTTAAACAAAAACAAATTTCTAAATAAAGTTTATATTTTAAATAATTTTTGTTGGCTATTTCATTTTTTTTCTTTTAAAATTTTGAAAGATAAATTATTTAGATTTGTTTGTTCTGAAATAATTTTTCTTAAAAAAATGTTGATAATTATCATAGTGGCTTTAACAATTCTTTAAATAGTAGCTTAAGGAATATTCATTGTATTTTCTTTAAATTTCTAAGATTTTTATACACCTTAATTCTGTCTAAAATATAAACAATTTTTTTTTTTAATTTACACAAATTTCTTGTTACCAACCATAGATTTGCATTTTTCATATTCTCTGCATTTCCTACACATTCATCAGTGCAATTTTTTTTTCTCCCTTCCTCCGACTACGGAAACGTCCCCGCCCCAATAAAAATTGCACTAAATCTTTAATTTTTTTTTTTTTTTTTTTTTTTTAAATTTAATTTTTTTTTTAATTTTTTTTTTTTTTTTTTTTAATTTTAATTTTTGTTGGTTGTGATTAACAGTATTTTTAATTTAAAAAAAAAAAAAAAAATTTTTTAACTAAGCTTTGGAGTGGGAAAATTAATTGTCTGTATTTGATGAGAAAGAGGAAAATAAACAAAAGAGTGGTCTTAGTAGATGAAAACAATAATTATCTGTGTTACATTTGCAAAAGGAATATTTTCTCTTTTTTCCAACATAGACTTTTACTAGTCATTTTGGTACATCACAAAAAAAAAAAAAAATTTTTTTAATTTCCACAGTGTGGACCTCCTGGTGAGGAAATATATATTACCTTCAGAAAGGCATGAAGAAAAAAAAAAAAAAAGGAAGAAAAAGATTGATGGATAATTTTTTTTTTTTTTTTTCAATTATTCTTTTTACCTGTTGTTGTTTTTCTGTCATTTTAAAAAGTCATTATCATTCCAAGAGTCTTTTTGAACTATTCTCATTCTTACCACATTTTAACTAATCCATTAGGTATAAAATATTTTTTACACTATTTGGAAAAAAAAAAAAACTTTTCTATTCCAAATTCTGTTAAGACAATTAAACCCTATTTGTGTGTATAATATTGGTAAAAATATTATAGTGATCCTTAAGATAAAAACTTAATTTCTTGAAAAATAAGAATGGTTTAGCCAAAACATTGTATTAATAACACCAGAAACACATAGAAAGGGTTTAAGTGGCCAAACAAAATTTGAGATGTTAAAGAATTTTCTCAAATTAATACAAAATATATACCTTCTTTCTGTGTTGATTATATACAACAAGAAATCTGAATGGTCCAAAATGTGTTAAATAATAATAAAAAAAATGAGATTAATAGTTAGAATAAATCTTGGATTTATCTCTTGTCATTTCACAAGAATTTTCTTTTTTTTTTTTTTTTGTCTAAAGAATGTTTTCTTGTATGATAATCCTTACTGTTTATTTTCTACATAATTTGTTTACAAAAATTTTATAATTTACAATCAGTCTATTCTCTGGTTATCAGTAGATAACAATCAGTGCTCACCTAAGCATCTTTGGTTACAAAAGATACCAGCAATAAGGGTTTTATTGTCACATTTTATAACAAGCAAATGCTCACTTTACCACTATCTGTTAAAAAAATATATATTATAATAATTGGTGCTTAACACAACCAAGTCAATATCAAGAAACAATATTATCTAAAATTTCAGATGTTTTGAGAATAATTGTATCATAATAGTTGTTTTATTTAGTATATGAAATATGTATACAAATGTAACAATGATTATGGGACAAATCATTATTATTTTCCTATTTCATTTGATTTCAGTTTCAAACTTATGCAGTTAATTTATATAAAAATTAGAAGATACTGTATATCTAATATAATAAAATGAAGTTTCTGTCTGTCTGATAGAAACTACTGGATGGATTTCAACCAAATTCAACATGCAGATAGGCTGTAAACTTGACCTTCAGGGCTGACCTAACTCATGAAAGGTCAAAGAAACAATTCCCCATGGAAGTTAATCATTTATTCTAAAGGGAAAAAAAGAAGAATTAAAAAAACATGGTGATAATGGAGGTTACTTTCTTTCGTCATTTTAAGTTTCCTGAACAACAATGGGTGTTCCTCTGCTAGTAAATAATATCACAAATTCATTTATGCTTCTTCTAGTGATATTCAGTAATATTGGTAATAATACTAGTAAAAACCCAGCAATGTGCTGATATTCGACTCATAGCTGCCTTCATTTTACTCCAATGTACAACGAAGGTTTAAGTTGGTTAATTTAATGACCTACTGACCCCTAGTAGGGTTATTTAATATTGAATATAAATCTTAAGAAACAAAAATGATGACCACCTTTCCAAAAAGCAAGAACTTGTATTTTCTCAACATGAGTTGCCCGACAAAAGGATAGAGAGCCTATCCAGATTATTTGTTTTGCAAAGCCAATTAAGACACTACATTTTCTATTTTTTAATTGGTAGACAGGTCCGTTTTACAATAGTGGCAAAAAGGTTGAGATGTCAGGTTTATACCTACATTTGTAAGTATCAACCTCTGCAGGCATATAGTAAATATACACTAAGCCCTGCTGATAGTGCAAAGAATACTTGCATATATCAACTTACAATAAATGCTTACTGATATATATATATATATATATATATATATATATAAAAAATAAAGTTTTGACACTGAGGTCAACCCCAAGTGCTGATGGTTTGTTTCATGCTGGAACACAATCTACAAAACAGACTTTTGCTACTTTGTGTTGACCTCAGTGTCCAATTTTACATTTACGTATGCTCTATCTCTGATACTTATCACTTTTACTTTATTATATATATATATATATATATATATATATATATATATATATATATATATAATTTTTTTTTCAGATTTATAACATACATGTTATAAGATCACTACAAAAATTGTAATTTTGTTTCAACACAAGACATCAGCAGTGTTGAAACAAAATTGCAACTTTTGTAGTGATCTTACAACATGTATATGTTATAAATTTGAATAAATATTATTAGCTCTACTTGATATTGAGCACTCTTTTAAGAATAGTGTTTTTGGTTATTGAAAGTTTATTCCATGTATACCAACCCTGTACTTGTGCATGCATGCATATATATATATATATATATATATATATATATATATATATATATATATATTTATACAAAGAATTAAATAACAATGTTGTGATCACTGGTAAAATCACTTCACTAACAAGACTTAATGAGACATTAACTTACTATCAATTCTGATAATAATAAAATCCTTATATTCGAGTTGTTGCCAGATGGAAGACACATGCCAAGTATTTTCGACAGTTTCAAATTGTCATCTTTAGGGCACAATTTTCTTATATATTTCAAATTGTTGAAAATATTTGGCATGTGTCTTTCATCTGACAACAACTGAAATCTAAGGATCTTATTATTGAAGGAATTGATAGTAAGTTAATGTTTCATTAAGTCCTGTTAGCGAATTGACCTTGCCATTAATCACATTAACATTGCTATTTAATTCTTTGTATAAATTTTTTCTTTGATATAAAATATAAGCTGCACACTCATATATATATATATATATATATATATATATATATATATATATATATATTTATATATATATATTAATGGAATTTGAGAACTATCTTATTAGCACCAGCTCACAATGTGATATATATATATATATATATATATATATAAATAAATAATCTGAAATTTTTATGACTTCAAATATTACTTTTAGTAGATACCCGTGTTTCAAATAGACACCTAGATTTTTATTTTATTTTCTAAACAGTGTGCATTATGTCTATCAGTCTATAAAGAAAATGGATTCAAATTTGGCAGAATGCAAGGATAATGAACAAATAGGAAACATTTATAAATCTAATATGTTTCTAACATTTTTCGTGTGTGTGTTTGAAAATATAACCATAACCCTTTAGCATTCAACATGCTTAAACCTTCCCTGTCGGCTCTCAAAGTTTTACTGTTGGGTGACTCCCTACTATATTTGAGACTAGCAGTAGAGCCCGGCGTTGCCCAGGGATATAACAGTAAGAGATAGATCAAGTATCAACCATCATAAAGACTGAAAAATAAAATTGACAAAGATTATTGTTTAAGGTTGACGGACACGCATGTCTTAATTAGTTTTTTTTTTTTTTTTTTTGCTCAAACAAAAACATTGTTTTCAATCGTTATGAGTCTATCGATTGAATAGAATTTTATTATAAACAATTGTCTTGTAAATGGAATTTTTAAAGCATTCTGAATGTAAAATTAAAAGAAAAAAGTGTGCAAGACAATAAGAAACACTACCTGCCAAAAAAAAAAAAAAAAAAAAGTGAAGTTTTGTTGAAATCGGTTTAAAAATGTAGGAAATCCGATCCCATATATAAACGAACACACACATATACTTATTATGAAACCCAGGTTGTTTGTGTAACTCGATATGAGTTGTCCCCCTTTCATTCTGGTGACAGAATCGTGTTTTATCGGGTTTTCAAATTGATTTTATGCAAAAACAATTGTTTTTTCCTATTTTGGGGCGCTGTCAGAACCACTGCAAGGTAATTTTATGCAGTCCTATGAAGTTTTGTTGAAATCGGTTGAAAAATGTAGGAAATCCTATTCAATATATAAACGTACAGACACACACACACACAATCTGCGTTTTATAATAAGTAAGATGATGTCATTATATATTATGCCAGAGTATCATTGAGAGCTGATATTTAGTATTGTGAAAGACCAAATTATGGAAAGATTTGGCAGTAGGCACCAAAACATTATAACCAAGAATTCAAAAGTGATCGGATGGAAAAACAAAATAGTCTTGGTGTCAGGGAATTTCTGGAAAAGTAAAGATTTTTTTTCTTTCTACTGAACAATATTTTAAGATATTTCAGCCATATACCTTTCTAGTTTCATGATTCACTATTGAAGGATAGAAGTTTAGCTCTGAAAGGGATTCATCATCATAGACATGCCCTGATGCCTGCAGCAAAAGCTGGTGAAACTGGGCAATTTCAGGAAATGACCATGTTATTTTCATGGAGATGAAAATTGATCCAGAATTAATGTTTTAAATTTGCTATATTTATGAAGAGTGTTCATGATCAGGGATAGTGTTTATAGATATAAACAGTGTGGACACAGACATCAACACTACAAGATGACTGTCAATCTCACACAAACTACAAATTTATAGATTCATTTAGGTGTGTGCTTTGCAAAACATTCCACTGACATAATAATAGCCAAATTAAGTGAGAGTTTAATTATTACCCCCTCCCCACCATACTTACATCACACAAGTTTACAACTGATTCTAAAAGGTGTTCCCATGACAAGTTTCAATGAATACAAAAATTAAGCAACCTAGAA